AAGAGTCACAGCGGAGAAATGGGAGAAGTGTGTTCGGCATGTGATATCGGAAGTCGAGACAAAGATGTGGAAGCTTGATAACATAATAGAGGCACAAATCGAGCCACTGATAATTCAGATTGGTGAGGATGACACTACTGATGAAGAGACAAATTCATCCAGTTGAATAATTTCGATTAATATTCCTTTTGATTTTACATAAAATAAAAATTATCAATAAAGAAATAATTACGTCTCTTTTCATATAATGCTTGAGTGCGCTGTGAAAAATCCAATGAAAATCTTTTTATATTACACATATCATCTGCATTTTTCCCGTTGAACTGCAAAACTTGTGCATTTCACTCGTTATTATAAAAAAGTTTTCCTAAGTATGATATAGCATTTGCGATCAACAAGATGTTGGTTCTGAATACGACCCTGGTCAATTTTTGAGATTTTCAATATCACTTGCGTAGGGCATGCCAATGTTTACATCCACTCTATCTTGGATTTGAATTTGCTTCAATTATGTATTATCATTTAGAGAAAAGGTGGTGGAAAAACGTTCCATAGTTATTCGAATTAATGGCTCTGATGGACAATTATGTTGACCGTTAGATAGACGTAGTTCGGAAAAGAGCTAATCTCCTAAAGCCTTGAGAGGTCAGTATGGAAGATGCACCACACACATACAAAATGTTTATAAGACCGATCCTGGACTATAAAGCCATCATATACTGTACGATCTCCCCGAGACTATCCCATCACTTACTAAAAACTAAGAGGAGAATACTACGTAACATACACATCACTTTTCGATTTTCTCTATGTGTCTTATGAACCCACTCTTCCATGCATAGCTGGCTCAGGAATTTCTGTCCACCAGTTTTCTCAGTGCCCCAAGTAAAGTCTTCGAAAATATTCATTCGCTCAGTTTGTTGAGGCCTCAAATTAATTGTACTTTCATATTGCTAGGTTGTTGACACTCAATGTTTTCAGTATAAGCTATTCATTCTTCACTCTTCGCGTTTTGAGAGTTTAACCACGAAATGTGTGTCCAACATGTATTTCGTCGTCATGTGGTCCCATACCATGTTTGATGCTCGTCCCTCCACATATTCCGAAATTTCTGTTTTGCCAGTCCCATGTGACTTGGTGAGTTCTTCAGTCTGAATTGGCCCAATCTTGCCTCCTTCAGTATCACACGATTTTAAGGAGGAAGATTCAACAGTGTCTTCAATGCAGCTGTAGGTTAGGTTAGCTCCAAAGTGAGTTGGTCTATTCGACCCTCCACCGCAACCCGCAAGGGTTTATTGTGGCTCACACATATTCACACTCGACCAAATAAACCCAGTTTCTCAACGAAGCCGATTAGTTTGTATGGCGAGTGGTCTTTTAGGTCAGATAGTAAGAGAACAGCTCTGCCGAACTCCAAAAACCTGATTCGGTCCCCAGCGGGGCAAGCACAAAGTATATGAATGAATCGAAGAGGTTTTTGTATTTANACTCTCTTCTTCGCTGGAGTAGTTTCAGACTCTGGAAATGGAATGGTACTCCCAGAATAAATACTTGGCCGTGTCAAACCTTTTGCTGATGAACTTGTAAAGCTTGACTGAAAAGATAACGCTGTTTTCTTATTTTTATCCTCACCAACATCAACAACCCATACGCCTGAACTACTTTCAAAAATAGTTTCCATATTTTCAAGACCTTTCGTTTCTTTTTCAGATTTCTTCAATGGTCTACAGGTTTTCAACTCGGCTTCTGCTATTTTGAGAACTTCAGGATCCTGACTGGACGCTTCCTGGAGAAATTTTGAAACTAGAACGTGAGTCGAATCCATGCTCGTTTAATATTCACGATGAAGTCACTACAATGATAATATTTCAGTACACTAGTAATAATCTATAATGACAGATATCAATATATTCAAAGCTTTATATATGTTTCACAATTTGAAGTACCTGAACATGAAGTACCTGAATAAGAAGTACCTGAATATCAAGTACCTGTGTTTTACCTATTCAGTTATTGATGAAAAGTAGGGAATCTCAATTTTTCGAGTATGGGTCAATACTTTGTATTTTCGAAATTATTTTTCAAAAATATCGCATATGTCAGTAGGTATAGTTTCAAATGTTATTGAATCCAAAACGTTCTATTCAGAGGTAAATCAGATAAAACTCTTGACATTAAAATCATTCTTCGTTAGTGAGAACGTTAATATAAAATTGATTGGATGGATCAGATTGAATAATAAAACTGAAAGGAGACATTATAACCCCTTATCATGAATTTGAATATTTTCGACGACTTTTTGTCTGTTAATTCAAAATGATAAACTGCTGGTTTGAAAATCTTTTGAGAGCAGAAGTATTATTTTGGAATAAAATCGAATACTGGGTACTGAAAACTTCTGATCTTTTCGCCTTCTGGCAGGACAATTCGTTGTTAACAAAAACAATCGCCACGACCCGAAGTCTTCAAAATGTTTCTTATTTTGACAACTCAAGTTTTTGTTGTGGTTTTGTATATTTGGTTCAAATCCGCCATTATATCTGAATAGTTATTTGTTGTTGTCGCCGACAGTTTCCATGTAACAACCCCTGTTTACAAAAACACAGACAAAACACCGAAAACTTCTGATCTATCCGGCGGGACAGATCCTTGTTAACAAAAACAATCTACTGCGACACGAAGTCTTCAAAATGTTTCACATTCTGACAACTCAAGTTTTTGTTTAGTCAAAATCGACAAAGTTGCTGTTTTACTGTTGGTTTTCTCGTTTGGTGGTAATCCGCTATAATATCCAAATATTTGTTTGTTGATATCATCTAACGTTTCCACATAGAGACCTCTGTTTACAAAAACACAGACAAAACACCGAAACCTTTTGATCTTTCCGCCTACCGACGGGGAAATTTGTTGTTGACAAAAACAGTCGCCCACTACACAAAGTCTTCAAGATGTTTCTTATTTCGACAACTCAAGTTTTTGATTTGTCGAAATCGACATAGTTACTATTTTGTTGTGGTTTTTTACGTTTCAAAAACAAGTGGTCGGTTCCTGCTAAGAAGCGTAACTAGAAGATGGTCTATGATGAAGTGCTTCTGAAATATTAATACATTTCAGTTGAAATAATAGCGTCATAAAACCAGTAACAACTATTTGTGACTAATTTCAATGATGAATGGTCAATTTATGACAACGGAAGACCAAGTTCAGTAATTCAGATGATATCTAAAGAGACCATCAGCACTTCCGCAAATTTTATGATCATTCGTGTTCATAATCAGGTTCGTGCGTTTTCATACCATATAAAGAAAAGTAATATGCCGTCCTGTTGAATCTTTCGAGCAATTCGTTTTACTGACTATAATTATATTTCGGCTTATGTTTAGTAATTGATGTATATAATATAATTGGCTTGTTGGATGATATGTTTAATATACCATCAATAACATATTTTTAGGTTATAAAATAAATATCCATACATCGACAAATATTACCGTAAAAAGCCAGATAATTGTTGAATATAAAAATAGTTAATGGCACGGTGTTATCGATAGATGATTCTCCTTTCGTATTGTGAAGTACTTTTCAAAATTATATACAGTACGGAAGTACTTTAATATACTAGGTGGGAACAAAGCAAAGGTACAAAACCTGTTCAGGAAATGAGGTGAGTTGACAATTTCATAGGCATTAACATTAAATTCTTGTAGATAAGAGAACGATGCTGTAACGCTGGAGCTAGGCTGTTGCGATTATTCTTTCAGCAATAGCATTTTTATAAGAAATAGATTGATCGATGTAACCCTCAGCTACTGTTGTAGAATTCCATCCTCCGTAGCAGCCAATGGTCTTATAAATCATGAAACTATCACAAAAAACGATCTGATTGCATACATACCCAAATTCTACACCTAGAAAAAAGGGATCATTAGAATGGTGGACACCTTTTTCTCTGAAAAGTACCTCGAGGAAGCAATTATTTCTTCCAAACAAGTTATGGAAGTCCATAGAATGAAACGAAAAATCGTAGATAAGGATGGCAAAGAGGTTTATGTTGATCGACAAATGATAATAGTATCCTTCTTGGGAAGTGAACTACCTCCGAATGTACAAATCAATCTAGTAAATTTTGTGGTTGAACCATATATTCATCCAGTAGTTCAATGTTTCAAATATCTGAGATACGAACACACCAACAGACAATGTAAATCCAAACAACAACGCTGCCGTAATTGCTCTAAAACTCACCCAGAAGATGAACAATGCCAGTAAGAATCATACTGTATATATTGCAAAAGTAACGATCACACTTCCATATCTAATAAGTGTCCTCATTTTTTTCGGCAAGAAGAAATTAAAAAAATAATTGCCCAAGAGTCGTCTTCATTCAAAGAAGCTGAGTTATTATTCGATAACCCTTCATACAATAAGGTTGTTACTAATAATAGATTTTCAATTCTAAATAATCTACAAAATTTTCCCAATTTGATCCCCACTCAATCAGAGTCATCACATGTCAACTTCGTTCACAAACCGGTACGAAGACCATCTTTCCCTACAATAAATAATCCAAACAAAACGGAAACAAAACACCCCTCCTTCATCACCTACTCCTCCCCTCAATAAAAACCCTCAACTATCTCAATCAAAACCAATAATACCAAACCCATACAGAGATGAATTCATACAATATAAAGAAAAACTTGTAACAAAAACAACTTACTTCATTAATGGGATATTTAAAAAAAGTACAATTGAAGTTGATAATATTGAATACAGAAAATAGCACAGATATAATAACCTTAAGTGATAATGAAACTACGTATTAACAAAAAAATTCAAATATTACAATGGAATTGTCGATTTTTTAATAAAATTAGGACAAACTTGCAGAATTATTTAAATACATCACCAATTGACATAATCATTTTGTTAGAAAAATTGAAAAAGCCGACTCAAAACATAACAATGAAGGGATACAATACAGTTCACATAGACCGTTCAGATGGAACAGGTGGCGTAGCTATCCTGATTTCCAAGGAAAATATATTTCGGAATATTACATTAAAAAAAACTATCATAAATACATTGAAATCTGTGCGGTATATATAGAGCAGATCAACCTCGCTGTTTTGTCAATTTATAAACCACCAGATTCACGTGTCAAAAGAAAAACACTATGGGGTTCAAATAATGATACGGTTATTGGTAGGGAACTGGTCGAAGCAATCGATAACTGTAACTTGGTCATATATACCAGATATATAGAGCATTGCATCTGTTAAACCTAATTAGTAAATGTGACTGGTAAGTACTATCTGATACTTGGGGATGGATCTGATCACTACCCAATCTTGATCAATTTTGAAGTTGATATTCTGCCTGGCAAAATCAACCCTACAACAACATGGAATGAAAAATCCGCCAACTGGGAGAGGTTTCAGTCATTTTTAGCAAACTTTGATTTTGAAACAACAGAAATCGATGCAGGAACAAAAGATAAATGTTCTTGTTTTCTGGAAACCTCTCGACCATTATGGTCGGATGAGGAATGTACTCAAATCACTAAACAACGAAAAGAAAAATTATCAAATTACAAAACTCTGTCAAATTATGATAATTATCTGGAGTAATTTTTCCTCCTCTATTATTATTATATGATACTTCTACTGTATCTTCTGATGAAAGTAAAGAAGAGTACTCGAAGATATTCTAGTATCTAATAAATTACACCATCTCAAAGATCAAGGAAAATTCCAATATCTTTTTACCGTTATTACAAATAATCATTCCAGCCTTCATGACGAAATTGTAATTGCTATAAAAATCAAGTCTAGAAAGTTTGACGGAGACAAGGTTTTCTTCAATAACGTGCCTGACCTTTCCTTTTGAGTATTTTAATTTTAATCGATATAAGCACATGAAGATTTTCAATTTTTTTTACATACACGGCATGACTAAATTAGTTGTACTAGTTTGTGTACGGAGGGTTGTGCCTTGCTTTCTTAGTTTTGAACTGTTGCATGAAGGAAACAATTTCGTTTTTGCGGATCGTTTGGTTATCAAAATAGGCGGACTTGAAACCACAGTGTTACACCCCGATTAGTGAAAAATTGATTTTCGATTGGAATCAAATTCGAATTATAAATGAACACTGGTACGACTAGCACACTTTCTTATATAGTTTTTTCAGTGAACAAATGGAGTTTCACAAGTTTCAACTCAGACAATTAAATTGTATCTGTTCTTTTCGGTTCAAAAACTGACATTTCAATTGCTCTGCACATGCACTCTTGATAATACAAAGTCTGTTCAACTAATAGGTGAATGTTGTTCAAATTTCGCGGGCTACGTCCATTCAATCGTCTTTTTCTATTTTTTTTTTTTGTTAGCAAACTTGCTTCAAAAATATATTCATAGTTTCAGTTGTTTAACATGTTCAGTTTGTTGGTGAGAGGCATAAAAGTTAAAAGTGTTCTGCTATCGAAAACAATGGATCAATTTGCATCAAATTTTGTGTGAAAAGTTAAATCAGGTGATCGAATATATTTGAAATGTTGACAATGGCATACGGTGATTGTGCTTTGAGTCAGAAAAATGTGGTACAAGCCTTCAACAGAAGGTCAAGGAGAAATGAATGACGACGCTCGCCCTGGACGCCCAAGTACATCAACAATCGATGAAGATGTTGAGAAAGTGGAGAAAATGGTTAGGAAAAATCGTTGAAACCCCATTAGAGAAATTGTTGGTTTTTTACCAAAAAAACCGTAGTATGAGCATCGCTCGGGAACTATTGAATGGCTTCAACGGCGATTCAAATTTGCTTGAAAGGGTCATAATTCGTGACGAATCATGTGTATATGGTTATAAGATCGAAACCAAAGACCAATCATCCCAATGGAAGAGCCCAGAAGAACCAAGACCAAAAATAGCACATCAAGTTTTGTTTGTACACATCGCTCTTTACATAATATCCCCATGAATTTAAATCTAACGATGAAAGATCAGGTGAACGTGCTGGCTATTCAATCGATCCTCGCCTCCCTATCCACTGATTGGGAAATGTTGTATCGAGGTATTACCGGACATTAACTTGGTAATGTGATGGTGCTCCTTCCTGCTGAAACCATATCGTATTCACTGGAAGTTGAGGGTTTCCTGGATCAGGACATAAATTTGCCAAACTTGGAATGACATCATTTCAAAGTAGTGCCAAATAATTATCGCCATTCAAGTTGCCCTCAATACAAAACGGCCAATGATATGGTTTCCTACAATGCCTGTTCAAACATTAACCTTTTGAAGGTATTGCGTGTGTTTTTCTCTCATCCAATGAGTATTTACCAGAAGCTGTTGTGTTCGGGTTTCAGATCCGTAACCAAGCATTTGTAAAACTGTTATTTTTTGCATTTCCGTTAATCTAACCATTTGTCAGACTCGAAGTTAACCAACTTCAAACTTAAATTAAAACACTAACTAATGTTCTAACATACAAAACATGTTGGCAAGGCGTTTAAAATTAACGTTGCTACGGATATTATTTACAGTTTTTTAAAGGATACCATCTAATAACAACATTACTATGGTTTTTGCTTACTTTCTTATTATCAAAACCTCAACGTGAAATAAGTTTTGAGTATATTGCAACACGTTTTGAGTGTATTTTGTCGAATTTCGGTAAGCACATGATTTTAATTTATTTTATCTTAATTGTTGCAATGAACCTAAAAGCGATAACATTTTTTAATAGAGAATGTTCAAAAAATTTGGGGTTGAAACGACCTGGCTGGCGACCGGATTGGGCATTAGTTATAATTCATTAATTATGTACAGAAGCGGCATCTTGTTTGAAAGATTGTTCTATTATAAGCCACAGAAAATGTTAAATTCGGTATGGCGTATGGCGACCTTGGTGAAATTAGCTACTTCACTTTCCTGAGTTACAAACGGCCTAATTATAATGTAATGGTAATATAACTCTCTAACTTATCCATCTTCATACAACAAATGTGAGAATTTTCTAAAGAAAGCCAAAATCTTTCATTTTCTAAAATTAGTCTATCCTAAAAACATACCCCCTTCAATTTGGAAATATAACTTGATGAAGATCTATCTAAACGGTCAAATAATACAATTGAAGTCTGAACATTCTGATTGAAAGGCTTTGCGAAATACTTCCATGAACCAATTATGCCAACTAATAATTACTCATTTCCATTATTCTTATTAACGTAATGTTGAATAAATTACCGATTCATAAATATAAGGACTCACCTAAATAAAATATCAGTGATGTGGTGGCAAATCCATAAACAAAGCCGGACAATATTTTACTCATACAGGAATATATGCCTATAACAGCATCATCAATTTTCAGGGCGTGGCTAAAAACTCCTACGGAGACAGATGTACCTGTGAAGAAATGCAATAATAATAATAAACAATTAGCTCATTGCGTCTGCTTAGGGCGTATGATTCTTGGATCCAATGATCACTTATCCTTATGTATTATTATTATCCCACTGTGTGAGAAGTGGTCATTGGTCACAATAATGATAATGATAATAATAAACAATAACTCTTACCTATGAGGTTCGTTACCATGTTGTAGGTAGAAAATATGCTGAAATCCACTTCATCCCAGTTGAATTTGTACCTTGTGAACAAGTAAGAGACTCCCATTTCACCTGTAAAAACGGTTTATTCAGTTTATATGATCAATTATCTCACTATAATGATGATAAAACCAAAACGTTAGATTTCTCAACTAAGAATAATATAAAAAATAATGAACCAGTCAAGCTTTTCGTGTATTATGACTCATCTCTGAATTTCTTTTCGCATATTCACAAATTATCAAATCGACTATTTATTTAGCCATTTTTAACACCATAACGACATATGGACTAATAGTTTGGGGTTCATCATGTCATCTAGATATACTATTAAAATTACAAAAAAGTAGTAAGAATTATGGCACAGACTAAATACAACGATCATTGTAAACCTCTTTTCAAAAATCTCCGTATATTAACTCTGCGATCTTGCTTCATATATGAATGTCTGTTGACTAAGCAGGACATACACTGCCATGATACCAGGGCCAAAACAAATGTAAGGCTACCCAAATATAGATTAGGTAAATCGCAAAACTCTTACTTATATATATCTCTAAATTTTTTTAACGTGTTACCATATGAGTTTCAGACTTTAGACATGAGTATGAACACTTTTAAAGTGAAAATTACGAATATTCTTTTACAGAATGCCTTTTACACATTCGAAGAATATTTTAATTATTTCGAGTCATCGACAAATTTGTTGCGTGTCTAATAATAGATATATTTTTTACAACAATATTTATTTATTTATTTGACTGTATTGTGTTACATTGATTTCAATTTATATACTATTTATCCCATTGCCGTATGCGAATACTATTTATGTATACATTGCAGGAATAAATTATATTCTATTCTATTCTTATACATTGAGTACCTACGTTCATGAACCCCTTCCTTTTACCTTCTGAATAATAATAACAATAAACTTTATTCCATGACTGTCAATTTTACAATTTATATCGTTGTTACAGATTATACGTTCTTTCAAATCTAAAACTAATGAAAAGTTTTTATCAGTTTATATATTGAACGTCTCTCTATAACTTAAATGAAATGAATAAAAACACTTTTGTCTAAATACCACTGGTTTTTTTTTATTTATACGACCGGTTTTGGGTTTGAATGAATTACCATGAATTACCATAAAGTAAACAAGTCATCAATCACACATTTTGTCTCTCTATAACTATTTTCTATATATGACATGCTGTAAACTTATTGTAATACAGTCAAATAAATCTATCTATCTATCTATAATACTGTACAAAAATTACCCGAGCAAAAACGCTTGTAGTTCATATTTCTGCTCGAGGAAAAGTAATATTTTTTTGAACGTTTGAATTATTGGAGAATGTATTTGTGAAATTATAAAACGATAAAAAAACATATATTTTTTCTGTTTGAAGTGGTAGTTTATTATATACTTTCAGACCTATATGGAAGTGACTTTTCCTAAATAGCGGTATTTCAATCGATTGGTTCGTGATAAATCGGGTTGAAATAGTTTCATTGGTATTTATAGTTGGATTTGTTTTTTTTTAGGTATATATAGCAAGCGTTGGTGCATATGTGGTTTATCAAAGTTAAATATGTATGGGTGTCCGTAAAGCCTGTCAGTGGAGAGAAGTTTTTTCTTATTAATCTATTTTTAGTACATAGTTTTGAGTAGTTCTCAAATTTTGTCTTGCGTCATCATATGATCCTGCCCATATTACTATATAGTATTCAAATAAGGGTTCAATTACCGATGTGTATCTAAGTTTTAGGTTCTGATTGTCTAAAATGTATGTAAGTTGCAGTTTAGTTGGTTTTGAAGCATAATATTATTTCTGTTCAGTTATCTGTCAACATTTGTAGAAAACGTTATAAATTTACTTTTAGACGTATTCATAATACGTCCTATTCATAATAATACGTATTCATAATAATACGAATTATCCTAGTTTTCATCAATGAACAAACTTTTTGTATCGTCAGCGTATAAAACAAGGTATCCTTGAAATCCTTTAATTTCTGCTATCGAGTTGATATACACAAGAAAAAGAGTTGGGCCTATAACTGTTCCCTGCGGCACACCTGTTGTTATTTCAAGTGGTGTTAAAGTGGGTGTTAAAGTGGGATTAATTTTTACTCTGCGATATTTGTGTTTTGAATAGTTCTCTGGAATGTTCAATGCTGGATTGCGAATACCAGCCTCATTTAGTCTTTCTATTGATATTTCATGAGGAACTGCATCAGAGGATTTTGCTGGGTCAAGAAATTTACATAAACATCTATCTGACTTGTCTAAGCAGTCAACAATTTTTTTTTAGGTCAATTGTGGCGTGTTCTGTGCTTGGATTATTTCTAAAACCAAATCAGTCTAGATTTCAGACATTTCTCAAAAAGTTTCGCTGAATTATTCTTAACTGAAATTGGTCGATAGTTACTAGGATATTTTCTATTTCCAGATTTAAAGACAGATGAATGGGGCAACATATTAGAGCCGGACATAATTTGTATGAGAAGAAATCATTTTTATCATTTTCTGGTAAAGAAACTGATAGTGTGAAGTCGCTCGCTGCAGAGAGGGCACTATCAACTTTTTTTCAAAGGAAAAAAAGGAAGGTCTTACTGTTTTTAATTTGGAAAATCGGCCTGCGGAGTTATTGGTGCATGAATTGGAGACTAGGAGAAATTATAATTGGTAACTTCGCAACCAAAAGGGTACTGAAACTGCTCCAAAGTTAGTTATCAGAGAAATATACATAAACATCTATCTGACTTATCTAAGCAGACAACAATATCATTTTTGAGGTCAATTATGGCGTGTTCTGTGCTTGGATTATTTCTAAAACTAAATCAGTCTAGATTTCAGACATTCCTCAAAAAGTTTCGCTGAATTATTCTTAACTGAAATTGGTCGACAGTTACTAGGATCTTTTCTATTTCCAGATTTAAAGACAGGTGAATGGGGCAACATATTAAAGTCGGGCAGAATTTGTATGAGAAGAAATCATTTTTATTACTTTCTGGTAAAGAAACTGATAGTGAGAAGTCACTCGCTGCAGAGAGGGCACTATCAACTTTTTTTCAAAGGAAAAAAAAGAAGGTCTTACTGTTTTTAATTTGGAAAATCGGCTTGCGGAGTTATTGGTGCATGATTTGGGACTAAGAGAAATGATAATTGGTAACTTCGCAACCAAAAGGGTACTGAAACTGCTCCAAAGTTAGTTATCAAAGGTTACACAAACTTTGTTATGTGTGAGAGAAAAAAATTGTTCACGGAAACGAATTGTAGAAAGTGGGGAACTATTCACGTCCACATCGTTGTATTCTTTTTGAGAAATGAAGTGAATTTTCATAGACTTGTGCCATCGTTTTCTTCAATCTTCGAAGCTGTTCTGATATGCACTTTTTTGTATGTAATTGAGCTCTTATAGCGATTCGGATTTATCTTTCAAAACGCTCTCCTTTCATGGGTCTTTTCAATTTTGGAAACAAGAAAAAGTCACAGGGGGGCAAATCCGGTGAAAACGGTGGCTGAGGCATGATAACGGTGTTGCTTTTGGGCAAAATATTACAAAAAAAGACGAGTGAACAGGTACATTATCGTAATGCAGAAGCAATGAAATGTTTTTTACAATACCTGACGTTTTCTTCGCATTGCTTTTTGCAAGCGGCACATAACTTCAAGATAATACTCCTTGTTGACCGTATACTATGTGTCAAGAACTCCTGATGGACTAAGCCACGGTAATCGAAAGAAACACTGAGCAAAACTTTGACATTTGATCGAACTTGGCGAATGTTTTTTGGTCTTGGCTCTTCTGGGCTTTTCCATCAACACATTTGGACATGATTTGTCACCAGTTATGACATTTTTAGCAAATCTAGATCACTGTTGACGTCATTTAACAAATTCTGAGCGATCCTTTTTTGGTTTTTTGGGTTTTTTTGGTAGCGTTCAGCAATTTCCGAACGAACTTCGCTACCACACGCTTAATGCTCAAAATAAAAAAAAAACATATCGTGAGCCAACCGATATGCCGATCTCCTTAGCACCTTCTCTTATAGTAATTCGACGATTTTCCATAACGATTTCCTTCACTTTCTCAACATTTTTATCGGTTGTTGATGTGCTGAGGCCTCCAGGTCCTTGCGATGTTGATGAGCTCTGTAATATGTTTGAACTAGCTGAGCTGACAACTTCATGGGCATTACTTGACGTGAACAGGACGATGCTGTAATGCTGAAGCTAGCTGTTGAGATTATTATTACCTGCAAAATGCAACATATATGTGTATCAGTATAACATGATGTTCTGTGTTTTTTTACAGGTGTCAAATATAAAGTATTTCTTTGTGAGAATTTATTCATATTGAAAAACACGGCTCTATGATTATGTAGATTGTATACCATATAAAATACTAATTACCACTTTTATTTGTAACTAACGTTACTGCAGTTTCGTCCTATATGGACATTTTCAAACTCATACAATAAACATACATAGAAAGTTTCATTTCTCTTTTCTTCATTATGATTTCCTACCACGTAGTTAACGGCTACATCCATCAATTTATATATAAACGAATTATTTGTTTTTCAGCTATAAAAGTCCGGTCAATATTTAAACCGTTGTCACACAATGAAATATCATACGACAAGACTGGCTGTACTATTGCATATAGACATACATCCCTCAGATATTGCTCCTGTAAAACTTTTTTGAAACTGTTATTCATTCTTTCGCAAATATAGGTAGTTCAAATCAAGGCAGAATCAATGTGTAACCCTAGAAATTTTGTTGCTCCAAATGGATAGATCATCCATTTCAACATTTATGTGTTTCTTTATATATTTTGTTCCAAAAAACTGCAGCATAATCGTTTTCTTAAGCATACGCTATCAATCAATGTTTTCTAGACCAAGTAGCAAGTCTTTAACATGTTTCATTTACTTTCAATTGGGGGCAATTTGCTTCTTCTGTTCGATATATCGATATATCATCGACAAATAGTGTTATCGATGATATTCCTATATGAGGAAGGTCATTAATATATAAAAAGAAAATTAGAGGT